GTTAAATTGTCTTTATCAATAGTTGAAATCATGAGTCAATTGAAGCTAGACCACCATGGAAAACCTAGAAGCACTGGACGGCCGTTCGAATCTCTCGGAGGGGGGGCGGGATCATGGATGCGCACTGCTGAGGAGTCTCATACTAGGACGAAACGGCTGTCCATTGTTTCCAGGTTTTCCATGGTGGTTTAGCTTCAATTAACTCATGAATTCAACTATTGAAATTTCTAAAAATCTCCAAAAACCCTCTTCTGATAAATTGTTCTTTGACACGCTAAATCTCGATTCTAATTTCTCACACTAATTTGTAACCCTCTCTAAACTCTATTTGGTAGGTGAATTTTCTTAAAGCCACTTCTGCATCGCTCAAATGTCGTCCATAAATTATAGTCTCAGTGGACTATTATTTTATCAGCTTATTTACGTTAAACAAATAAGAAATCATTTAGATAGTGATATAACGAAGGAAATGTTCATCTAACAGTAACATAATGAACAAGATGGTTATGGTGATAAATATATTATATTAAATGACTAGATTTTAATTAACCCATAGACGAATTAAGGATTAATAAGAATGAAAGAAACTATCAACATCTTTAAACAGATCTTGTTTAATATAAAATAAATAGATAATATGAGAATCATAAACAATTATTCTTAGACAAACATGGATAGTAGTTAAAAGTGGAATCCAGGACTCTCGTTTTGTCCTATTTGAGACTCGTCAGCTGGATGTACCTGCATCCTAGAGTTGTTGTTCACCAAGTGAATTTAAACTTCACCTTATTGCACAAGCAGGGGACTATCAGGACTCAGTAGCTAAGTGGATGACGCAACGGCGTTTGAAGCAAACTGTACTAGGTTCGTAGTCCCAGAGCGAACAACAACTCTGAGATTCAGGTACATTCAGCTGACGAGTTCCAGATAGAACGAAACGAGTGTTTTTAAAAAACTCGTGACTTAAAGCAATATCGACGCAATCCGCACAGGACGAACATATTCCGACAAGAGACTGAACAGTTACAGTCCTAAACAACAATCAGAAGATACAAGTAAAACAACACTAAGTGAATTTAATTACTCTTAGGATTTTAATTTGCCTGAACTGAAATTAATTTGTACCATAGAGTAACAATATAAAATGATAAACGATTTTTAGATGAGTAAGAGCACTGAAGGGCTGTTACATTTTTATTTGAGATTATCCAGTCATTTCTACTATTAGATTTTAAATTATCAATTAAAAGTTATCGTGTTATCTGTCATACATGAAGGTCCTTAGATGAATCTTGTATAAGACCATAGATGTATAATATTATTGTAAAGTATTCAGGATCTGTGGAAATTTCACTTCATAAAACATAAAGATAGTTGAACAACACGGAGATACAACTAAACCAATCGTGTTATAACCTTAAACTTTCTTGTATGTTCACTCGTATAAATCCAAACTCTGCCTGTAGCCCTTCTAGGGTTACTGCCGGTTCCGAGCCAGAATAAAGAAGAAGGGTTGAGCATGGGGGGCGACAACCCCATCCTGTAGAATGCAACCTTGCTAAAAAAACTCTGACCAGAATAAATAAATTGAGCTATTTAACTTCTGTCCTGGGAGTACAAGGATCTTCATCTGGGAAATTTATGGTAATACCTTTAAGAAACCAATAGCTCAATCAATAAAGCGTTCAATGTTCAGAGAGGACAGTACTAGGTTCAAGTGCTAATGAGAATATTAATATTGGGATGTAATTACATTCAGTTAATTAGTCTTAAACAGGACTAAATGGACATTCTGTTTTATACCCTTAAGTCACAATTCATTTATTTGTTTTAACTTATATAAATGATATGTCTTACTTTAACATTGTAATATGACTTAAATTTTTCAATAAAGTACATTTGATTTCAATGAATCATTATTGACCTTATTTATTTATACATTTCAACAAAACAAAACTAAGAAACCTATTGAGTTCCTTTACTGTCACAGGATCCTTGGAGCTCTTCAGATAATTAAAATAACCAATTGTGTCATTGAATAAGAAACATTTAGTAGTTGAGATCATTAGACAAGGGAAGTTAGATCACCATGGAAAATCTGGAAGCACTGGACGGTTGTTTCGTCCTATTGTGGGACTCCTCAGCAATGCGCATCCACGATCCCACCCGCGGGATTCGAACCCGATGTACTGAGGTATATTGGAAGATGGTCGCGCAACTTTGTGAATTGGTTGAGGTTAGACATTAGCACCAATGGATACCGGCCGGCTCAGTGGTCTAGTAGGTTAAGCGCTCGCGCGCGAGACTGATAGGACCTGGGTTTCAATCTCTCGAGACGGGATCGTGGATGCGCACTGCTGAGGAGTCCCACAATAGGACGAGACGGCCGTCCAGTGCTTCCAGGTTTCCAACGGTGGTTTAACATCAATCGGTTCATGATCTTAATCAGAAAATTATTTATTATCATTCACAAGTCGATCTATGTATGTAAGTATGTATGTGTGTATGTATGTATGTATGTATGTATATATCTATGTATGTGTAAACAGTATAAACCGTAATTACATAATAGTCAATTCAAGTTCCATTCTAATTAGATCAATCTCACGCTAAATAATTTTCCCAAATGTTTCACAATGAAAATTCTTTCACATTTAATTTGTATTCAAAAACAAAATTATGTGTATAGATTATTGAAATTCTTTATCAAATAGATAACACAATAAATCATTACAGTACAATTTACATTTAAACGTGTTGGTAACAATTATTATTGAACAAATGAATAACATATGAGAATTTTTAGGGTTTTTTAGGGGGGGATAGGGGGGATGGAAGAGGGGATGTTTATTGAAAACGTTTATAAGATCATTTAAACTATAATTCGTTTGATAAATAGTAGTTTTGTTAGTAAAAGTATATGAAAATAAATTATTAACTTGGATGTTGAAGCTTAATTTAATTGACTTCTGTAAGATACTCATAAGTTATTAGTATTTCATCACATATGTCTTGGAAATATTGCTGATATCTGGTAGAATCATCGGGTAAGTAATAAAGTGTTTAGACTCAGGGTATTAGGTAATGATGGTAAATCAGTTGATGAGGCTGTGAATCTACATCGACTGAGATGGTTGGGTTACGTATTACACATACCCAACCACCGATTGCCACGATGCACAATGCTGATTAGTGTTGGAGACGGTTTGAAAAAAGTTAAGGGCGGCTAAACCAAAACGCGATTTGGAGTCACTAACTTCTGGTCTGAACCATGTTTGTAGATGCAAACCACTTGGTTGGGGTCCGTGTGACAGTCATAACCAATGCTTAGACACTCTGGGTGACTTAAAACTGAGAATCGATCACAATGGCACAGGTGCATACACTCTTTACGTTCCCTTAAACCGTGGGGTTAAAATTATTTTATATCTTTCTTTCTACGAACTAATTATTCCTCCCTGTATTATACCCTTATATGCAATCTTTGTTTTTATATATTACTACCATTGAAATGATCGCTTATATGAATTTGGTGTTCATCTTGTTGTGCTAATGAGGTATGGCGACTTGGACTGATGCATATATGTGCCTGGTCCTACGTTGTAGCTGACGGACTGACTGACTCTGTTCAAACATTTGGATGGTATTAGTAATCACAGTTTATAAACAAGGACATAAATCTATACTTGCTTCGTGTAATGAATCAGTTATGTAGTACGTATTCACAATACTGATGGTTATATAATAAGTTAAAGTGCGCATAGATTACTGTCAACTTGAAGAGAATTTGAACGAGGTTAAACCCTCAGAACTATCCTATGTGGGATTACTGTCCATATTTTCTACTGAAAAGTTATTAAATGGTTTCATAATTGTATCCCTATAGTCTTCTATTCTTTGGTTTTCATATGACCCATAAACCATTGTTATCTACCGTACCATTGCAGATTTATTATTAATTGATTATTCCCCTCTTACTTGCTTATGAGCTGGTGGTGTGTATATTGCATTGTGGTCAGGCATTTAATCTATATTAACACACAATTTTTAAGTCCATGGTAGTTATAGAGTAAAATAGAAATTTCTGTCTACTAACTTCGTCTTCTGATTCGACAGTAGGTTAACTGAAACTCGAGAACCAATACTCATTCAGGTATATGTTGTTGTTGTTGTTCATTGATCATTCGGTCATTAATAAAATAGAAAATCACTGATCTTACAAGTAATATAAGCGAGTAAATCAATAAATGGTGCAGAGAATAGAACTGCTCTTACGATAAATGGCCAGATACTGTCACAATACATGAATCCGTTTTTTTGAGGTTAGAATAATTACTTATATATAGTTCATGAAATCTATATGTTTGTTTTAGAGATAGTTTAGTTTAAAATTATCCTTTTAACAGAATATTAAAAGTTAAAAAAGAGCTGGTTAGTTTGTTTTATTCTCATTTGCATGTTTTTATTTAAGTAATCTAAACCATTTATCCCAAATAATACCAAATAGAATATCCTTTAAGGTTAGAAAATCTTGACTGAATACTGCCATGTCATTCACTAAATTTAACTATCTTAAATTAAATCTCATATCATCTCATAGATGTGTATAAATCTGCTCAGAGCTTTATTGTTTTCAGTGGTTATTCAACTAATCTGTATGTCCATAAGACAACTATTATGAAATTTACCGTCTTTTTTTACATGTTATACAACATTTAATAGTGATTTCAGTTTGTATATGGTCAGCTTGGGATGTAACAGTCTCACTGACCCCCCCCCCAAAAAAAAAACATAATCCATACCCATTATTGATGAAACATGTGTCCAACTCCACAGTGTTGTATAGAAACGTCATTCGATTAACTTTGACAAACGTATAGCTCACAACATAAGTATGATCATCTTTCTTAATGAATTATGTACACATAAAATAAATGAATAAATAGGAAAAGAAACACAAACAGACAAACAAATAAATGTGGACAAATTTCAACACTTACCAGATACAGATTTTAATCCTGATCTTTCAAAACTGGACGCTTTAAATTGATTGGATATATTTGATTTGTTTGAATGATTAGCGCTAATACCGACTGGAGCACTTTTAGGCTCAGATAACGAGTTCTGTTGTTGTGATTGTAGTTCATCTGTTGTTGTTGTTGTTGAATCGCATATAACATCAATAGAAGTATTCTGTTGTCTATGTTGCTGCTTTTGTTGTTGTTTAATATTCAAGATTAATGATCCTGGTACAGTCGTGTTTGTAGGTGAGGTTGCTGTCACTGCTGTTATTGATGTTGTTGTTGTTGTTATTCTTGTCGATGATAATGATGATATTGAAGTAGTAAGTGTTTTCTGTTGTAATTTATTACTTCGAGTTACAGATGAATTATTATTATTACACGGATTACTGATATCACCATTCACTGTATAATTATTAATATTTTGATAATCATAAGATTTTTTATGAGATTGATTTAACTTTTGAGTTTTTACTTTTAAATCCACTAAATTATTTGCTCGTGGTATAGATTGACGAATACTACTAGTTTGATGTTGTGGTGATAATGGTTTTGTACTAGAAATAGAACTTGATGCAGATGATAATGAACCATTCAAAGATGTAGTTATTGAAATAGATGAAGGAAAACGTAATGATGTAACACTGAAATATAATAAATTAAATGATTCACTTTAAAGTTGTTGTTGTTGACGATGGTGGTGGTGGTGGTGGCTTTTTCTTGTTTTAAAAATTCATTTGTTTTTTCAATATTAATAATAATAATAATAATAATAATCACGAAAACCAAAAAAAATTTCGAAATGAAAAACAAAAAAAGTTTTTTTTTAATGATTCTGTTGTCAGGATATTTAATTATCTGTAATGAAAGTGTTACAAACTCTTGGATTAGTTTCACTGTAATCAAAATGAGATGATAAACATAGGTATATATATATATATATATATGTAGAGAGAGAGGGGGGGGAAGGTGGTGGGTTGTGGGCGTGCCAGACTTAAAAATAATTTCACAACCGAGTATTCTAATCAATATGATAATATTTAATCATTGATTGGTCAATAAATTATCATTATTTTGATTGGTTTAAATTTGTTATTATTGTTACTATACTAGACTTGTAAAATTAATTTTAGTCTACTCTCTACTATTTCAATAAAACAAAATTGTCATAAAAATAGATTATTTTTTTCAAGTTTATTAGAATTTATAAAAATAAAAAAAAAATTATTTTTTTCTCATTTCTTAATAAAATAAACAATTAAACAGAGAATATAAGTAAAGATAGATGGTAACTAATAGTGAAATCTATGATATGAGTTATGTATTATTTAAGATTTATCATATGGTTGTGCTCTATGTTTTAAAGTTGATATTTACTCGGAGATTTAAACTTAATACTGTTAGCTTCAAATGTTATCATGTTGTTCACTTAGCTACAGAGTTCTAATAAAGTATGAAGACATCTATAATAATGGTTGTTATTATATTCCAGGATTTAGTAATTGTACGAAAGTAGTTTCTCTAAATGTTTAATATAATCATAAAGAATACTAGTTTCAAGTGACTATATCATCTTTCATTGATTTTCAAAATAACAGGATATTTTATGAAGTACCATAAAGTTTAAAATAGCGGATGTCAGATTTTTCATGTGAAATTTGGAATGCGATGACGGATAGCTTGTAACTTATTGAAAACTAAGTGGTTGATAATCAAAACGTAGTTACCAAAACTGGTAATTGAAAGAAATTGTGAGATCAATGAAATTGAGCAAATTCCAAGTTTTGTGCTAAAGACTGAATGTACTGGGTTTGATTTTCAGTGGTTGGGTCGTGAGTACGCATTAGTGAGAAGTCATATACTAGAACAAAACAAAAGCAAGATTTTAATTTATGGATGAATCAATCAGGTATAAGAAAAAAGTCTCGGATTATAACACGAAATTCACCCATCTATTTGACTGAGTTTTAGCAATGTAGCTGATGTCAGTTCGTGATGAAAACACGAAATTCTATTCCTAACCTTAACCATCAACTGTAAATCATAATTTTAATTCCTCACACTGGTTTATAACCCTCATTTGGTCCTAGTTATCAGGTGGATACTCTCAATCTATTAGTCTAGTTTCACTCAAATGTCGTTCATAAATTATAGTCTCACCAAAACAACTTTCCAATGCTAACCGGTGTTCGATGGTGGCCTAAGAAGACAATGGAAAAGTGAATAGTTTGACATGAAAAGGCAGATAAAATTAAGATATACATGGTATTTAAACATAATTTATTGATTTTTCGTGGTAACTTTCATGACTGTTTATCAATACGATTATCGGACACTCACCCCTCTTTTAACCCTGAATCCTGACCCTAATCATCAATTCTAACCCTAACTTCAAACCCGAAAGTCTAGTTTTAACGTTAGTCATTTTCGGGTTTTTGTGCAATATATTATTAATATATATTATCACTTGAATCCCGACAGACCTAAAAATGTTTACCACTTTTCAGGGTCATTTTAAGGATCACTGACATTTTTCAGTAAAACATACTTTCATAATGCCAAGTGTCAGCTGAATTGTGAGGAATATCAGGAGAACACTGGTATGATAATCTAGAGTCCACCAACCTAAATACTTCCATATTACGTACCTTTTCTTGATTTAAGTTATTAAATCTACCTGAATAGTTGGATTTTATTGTAAATATCATTCCAGAGAATCTAATCATTATATATATATATATATATATATATATATATATATATATATATATATTGCTGAAGTGAATTGAAAAGATAACTATGTAGTACCACTACGTAAGGTTACTTAAATGTAGTTTGAAGAATACACGACAAAATGTGTATAAAATGTTAAAAATATCCTGTTCAAGTACATAAAAAAAGATACAATCCATCCTTTATAAGTAGCATTCTAAATCTGTCGAATCATGATAAATAGCATCTGAGTCGACTAATTGATTGAACCTGAGAAATAATGACAGTAAAATCTTGCGTTAGATTATTCACGAAGTATTATATCATATTGGTACAGAGATCATGATATGTAAACTATGGATGGTGATAATAATAATAATAATAATTTCTTTAGATTAGAAACATGAGTTACGTCACACCGCATCTGATCAATAAACTAGTATGGTATTTATGGGACAAGATGATAAATATTAATCAATATGATATATTAACGAGTTTGTTCAAATAATGTTACTAAGGTTGTTATATCCTAGTGAAGATTAAATTACTAGTAACTTCCTAGAATTATTAATGGACTAATATTATATATATGGTATGACTATTCAGTACTTAGATTATGTATATCTATATTCCTCTTATTATAAGCTTCATTTTGACCTATAGATTATTATTATACGAATTACTGTTCTTAAGTTATGCTCAGTTTATTCATTACTGTCTCCCACGTTCACAGTCACTTTTTGGCTTTACTGTGTATGAATGATATTTCCTATTTTATGGTGCTATGCAGTCTGCTTGGCTGGTATATAAACCAAGTATGTTTGAAATAAAGGATTCGGATTGTGGGAGCTGTTATTGGTATTCCGGAATCAACTGGACGGGCTAGGCGAAAAAAGGACCAATAAAAACGCTAGGTTGTTCATACCGCCGGACATCATTGGCTTAGCACAGTAAAATATTGAATAAGTCGTATAGTAAAAAGCCGGCCCCTGAAGTCACAACAAAGGCGAGTTCTAAAAGAATAAAGAGTGATTTAATTGGGTTTTTAGATAACAACCTCTAAATAAAATATTGGAAGTAATGTATTACTTTAACTAAAAACTCGTAAAACACTAGAGAGCTGTTTTATTCTAGATAAGATTCCTCACCAGTTTAAATGTGTCAAGTGTGAGATAATCACTCATCAATGATATTGAAAGATGATTTGGCAATATCACGAAACTACTGAAGTTAATGTTCTAAAGGTTAACCATTTACCAATAGATCAGAATCTACTGGATTTGATCATCGGCAGTTTTGTAGATGAATGCTTGTCAGACATTCCACGCTACGACTATACAGTTTTCTATAAATCACTGAACATAGATTCATTTAAATGTATACCAAGTATTTGGAAATTTAATATTTGGGATAAAACTTAAAAGTAACAGGTTATATTGTGAAACGTTTTTATTAAATTAAAAGTCTTACAATCGGATAATCCAAGTATTTATTCCATGCTTAAGCCTTCAGTAGTCAAAAAGAGTCTTAAAATTAATCATTTCATAAAAATGTTTAACTTTAGAATACCATACAGTGAATATATGACACTCAATGATGAGGAATAAAACATTTCATAGACTACCGTCTCCTTACTGAATCATAGAGATTTATTGATTTCAAAAAAAGTATTACGTAATACACTGCTTTCTAAGTAATAGTGAATGAGTTTCTCCTATATCGGTCTTTCCTAACTCTGTTAATTCAATATTCTAATGTAGAGAGTCATCACCTTTGAAACCAATTAAGATGAAATTAAAGATGTTTGCTAGTGAAAATGAGTTATTAGCTTTCTGTCATATTTCAATTAAACTACAATATGAAAGGTACAGACAAAATAGATCATGGCTAATAACTGTACAATGGTATACTCTTCATACAGCTTGAATATTCTCCATCCTCTAATCAGTCTCTAGATTATGAATGCACTCAGCTGAGCACGAGGCTAAAGTTCTACAACCGTTCATTGCAATTCACTCTGAAGAAACCATCATTTATATGTTCGAAACTGGATTTAAGGTAACCTTAATGAGTTTTCAGTCAGTTCTTAGATGGATAGTTTTTATGGGAAACAAAACTTTAGTGATTGTAAAGGGCAAGCAGATTTCATGCATTTGATAAATCCTATCAAAGTTCTGTACAGGTTACTTTGTCGGCAAATGTAAATTTGTCATTATAAATATAGATTATCTGACTATTCAAACACTTCTGTGTTTAAGATTTAAGGATTGTGTCAATTTATTTGTTATATACAGTTTATATGGCAGGGGTAGATTATTTAATACGTTTACAACAATCGTTTTTACTCTATCGTGACTGTTATAACTTGTGGCGTTGTGCCCTATTAATATATATAACGTAATGATATCATCAATTAGAGAACAGTGATTTATCAACCGGATCTATGACGAATAAAACATGTACGAGCAGACTAGAGTCTTTATCGATCATTCTTCTCGCATGGACCTGACTGTTAAGTCCAGAACACCAATCTCAGCCTTTGTGATATGAACCATGTATTTCAAACATATTAGGTCTATAAACAAACCAAACAGATCACATCGTACCATAAAATAGAAACACAAGCATTTTTACGAGATCTAGCCAAAAGTGATTGTGAATGTGAGAGACTGTAATTAATAGACTGGGTATAACTCAAGAACGTTAGATCCTATAATAATGGTTTATAGGTCCAAGTAAAGCTAGTAATAAGAGGAGTATAGATAAACATAATCTAGTCATGCATTAAATACAACACGGAGAACAACAATCCAATCACTCTTGATGGCGAAACTCTGGAAGATGTGGATTCCTTCACATATCTGGAAAGCATCATAGATGAACACGGAGGATCAGATGCAGACGCACAGGAGAGGATTGGCAAAGCAAGGAC